GAGACACTCTCTCTGCACTGTAGCACCTGTAAAAGTTGCATGGGGCAGTGCTACCTGTGGGTGGTCCAATTGAGAGTGGCTATTCAGCCACTAATGGCTGAGGGAGATTTGTATTCAATTCCGTGTGCTCCTTAAACACCTTTTACCCCTTTCCAGAAATTCCCTTCAAGATGCACCTCTTACATGCCACTTGCTTGGGACTGCAATGGTGAGGGGAAAATGCCAGAAGGTTCTTGAGGGTTTTCAGCAGCAGATTAGCAACCAGTGCCTCCCAGCAGTGCTCCCTTGTAGCTGAGAAATGGAAGTCCATGGCTTCTTTGCCTAGAGCTTCTTGGGCTTAGCTGGGTTCTGTCAAACCTTGCCTGGAGGCAGCCAGGGGATTGCATTCCTGTGCAGATGAAGGCATTGATGGAAGGTGCAGCCACCTGGAGGGCTTGGCTACAGGAAACATGACTGCAGAAAGCCTGCAACACTGGTAGACTGTCTGGGAAGAGGATACAGACTGAAGCAGGAATTCAGCTATTCCTCTTTTCTCTTTGTTCTGCTGCAGCAGATCTGTTCTCAAGGGACACTCCTCTATCAGTTTATTACATATTCTAAATTTTAGGGAGAAATAAGAGATCTAAGAATGCCATTGCCTATTTGTCTTCTTGCTTTCTCCCTCTCTCTCTGCCCTCCTTGAGCTATAGATTTTCATTTGGCTCCTGGCAATGCAGAATCTGTGTCTTACCCTCTCTGAGAAGGACTTCTCATCATTACCATTGCAGAGATAGGTGATCTCAGGTTCAAAAAGATGAAGTGGCTAGACCTGTGAATCAAATGCACGTTACTCAGTCCTCTCCAAAAAACAGTTCTTTCCTTTTCTACTTTTTAATGATATTAGCAACCTCTAAGCACCAAGAGTGTCATAAACTTTCCAGATTATAGTAATAATAACATTGTACAGTACATTGCACTGGGAATAAAATTATTTTACCCACTCCAATTTCCTTTTGTTTTAATGTGTGAATATATCAAATGAAAGCATAGTAGGAAGTCTCGATGCAGGGGCCAAATGTGTTGCAAGCCAGCTCTTTCTGAAAGAAGAGCTTAATGCTGCAGGTTGAGAGCTTGAATTTTGCATTGTAAAGTGTCTGGCTTTGAATATTTGGTTGGCTCAGTTTCTCTGGAGTGCTTTGTGCAGTTCTGCTCTAAAACGCTTAGTAGGACAGGTTGTATCTGCAAAACTCATTCCTTGTGGGGCTCCTCTGTGAATGGCTGAGATTCTTTCTCTGTCTCCAGCACTTGCCTGATGCTCTAACCTTTCTTTTCATTCCCAAGGGCCTTCTTGAAACTGTTTCTTTTGAGAAAGCAGGCCCTGCGTGTTGCCAGGACAAGATGGCAAACTGTCATCGTCCTGAAATCCTCCAGGAGATGTGGAATGATGTCAAACAACGTATTCTTTCTGTTCAACATTCTATTCGAACACATTAGAAGTACAATTAATCCCTACCATCTCTATCTGTAGTATGGAATGAGGTGGCTTTCCCAGCCTTTGCGTAGTGTGGCAGGCTGAGCTTGGAACCAAGACTTCTGGAATCCTATCCTATGATTTTAACATAATCCTCTGGGAGCTGGATTCACCCCTTGTTCACTCCCCACACCTTCGCTTTTATCAGGTTATATTTAAGGCTGTTTTCTCAGCCTCCCGTGCCATTTCCTTGAGCGCTTTTCTCTTCAAGACAGCCCTAGGCTTTTTGGTCTCACTTTTGAGAGATGTGGGTTCATGTGAGGTTTAAAACATGGTAAAATGCTTGTTGGTCTTGCAGGAGACCTGGTGCTGTGATTGCAAGAGAGATGTCACAGCTTGAATAGTAGTGATTCAATTAAAGTGATGTCCCTTTCCACTAAATGGAGCTTAAGGTATTCTTAACGGTAGAACAAAGCTGAATGTACACCCTCATGTTTCTAAGCTTTGTGACAGCCCAGGTGGACCCAGGGGGGATTGGGGAGAGAAAAATTAAACTGACACAACATTTATCTCCAGCATTCTCATTTTGCTATAGGTTAGTGCTATATATTGCTTTACACTGCAGAGTAAGGATTAGTTTATATAATATTTCTATCAAACTCTGGTAACAATGATGATGACAAAGTGTTTTGGTACTGCAGCGCTTGCTCAAAAACCTTCTTGTACAGTACAACTGTACTTAATGTTTTGCTGTGGAAATTCTCTATGTAGAAATGCCTTTAGGCAGGTGAGATGGAGGTTACAGAAGGCAGGTAAAAGTATGGGGTGGTGGGATGGCCAAAGGGAGAAGAATGCAAGTTGGAAGGCTTGAGGCTAAAGAGTTTGTGCACCATGTGGGGCACAGCCGAGCGACTTGAGGCAACATTTAACTGGGAGCAAGAGCTGCAGATAAATATTCTAATTCTCCACAGGATGGCTGGCAATTAGTTTTCGCAGCAAGGTCATGTTTGTGAAGGGAGAACAGAGCCACCAGCTGGCAAACATAGCCCAGAGAATGAGAAGAGAGATTTCAATAGCTTTGATGCTGTAGGGTGTCAGGACCCCACTGAAACAGGGGTGGTATAGGTCAGGAGGAGAGTGTGCTACAGGATAGGAAGGGACAGGGTTTTTCTCTTTTAATCATAGAGCAGGGAGTCTTCATCATCACAGAGTGTGTCTTGGCATTGCGAGCAATGTTCTGCAGTGCATGTGGGTAGAGGTGTTATGGCATGTCTGCAGAGGGCTGGAGCAGCGTGATAAGAGGCAGTGTTTTGGATTTGAAGTGTACTGGCAAAGGTTACATGGGCATCTGAATTGCTGCTCTGCCATTGTTCGCTTGACAAGCAATCATGCAGTCTTTTACTGATAAGTCACTGTTTTACTTAAAAAGCATAAACATGTGTTCATATGTATATATGCACATAAGTTCCTGCTTTCTTCTTCCTTCTGTGTTCAACAAGAATTTTCTGCCATCCAGGCAGGGGAAGGTCACTCATCTGCTCAGTTGTATTAGAGGAGCTTTGACTGTTGTTTCAGAGATGGCAGACAAGTTCCTACAAGTCCTGCAGATGAAAAAGATTAAGGGATTTGCCCATTTTTATGCCATCATACTGTTCAAATAAACATATTACTTCTCTTAGTCAATAGCTTGGATAGTAATGAGCCCATCATGATTTTGCCAACCAAGTAACATCAGACTGGAAGGGCAGTGGGAGACTGGCATGAGTTGTCCAGAGAAGTGGTGGATACCCTGTCCCTGGAGACACTCAAGGTTGGGCCAGACAAGACTCTGTGCACTCTGGTGTAGCTGTAGGTGTCTCTGTTTGCTGCAGGGGAGTTGGATCAGCTGACCTTTTAAGGTCCTTTCCAACTCAAATAATTGTGATTCTAAAAAGATAATAGCTTGCTGCCTGAGTGCTGTGTGACCATGCCATGAATGGAGAACCCAGCAGCAAGAGCAGCTGGCTGCCCACGGTCCTGTGGCCACTCTTGTGTCATAGCTGCTCAGTGCTTTGTGGTGACACCAGTTTGTACAGGCTGAACCTCAAAGGCAGATCTCTGCTGCTTAAGCCCAGCCTGCCCTGAGTCTGTGCTGCTGGTGCATGGAACCAGCATAAATCTGAGCATTTCTATTTGCCATCTGGTTGGGTTTAGAGCATTTTGGTCATGCCTGGAGCAAAACAAGAAATCACTTAAAAAAAAAAAAAAAAAAAATCCATGAAAGAAAATAGTGGTTCCTCTGACCTTGAGGAAGATGTGGGTGCTTAGTTCAGCTGTGACAGGTTGTATAAATCGGTGTTTGTTTCAGAAGGCTCACTCAGGCTCTTTGCTTTAAACCCTTGGATCACCTGTCTTTCTGTCTTGTCACTGTCTTGTTAGTTTGCATTGTATTTCACTAATAGCAGCTGGAGCTGTGACTCTGGAGTCACCTGGAAGTGTTGCAGCAAGACAGGGTGGTGCATCCCAAGGGCACTCTCACTGAGGTAGTGGTTCTTAGACACGTGTGGGTTTCTCTGTTCCTTGAAGTGTGACTGGATTTTTCCCTCGAACAAGCGCAGGTGTCTCATTGGGCTGCACAGTCACTTTCGATACATCTCAGCCGCTTCAGTGATCACACAGATGCTTTTGGATTAGGGAACCAAGGGCTGCTCATACAGATCTCTAGAGTTAAGGTGATTTTTTTATTAGGTCCTGTTTTCTTGCTGTTTCTCTCTCCCTGCTGTTGATTAGAACTGCAGTAGATCACTGGTTGGGGATGTGCAGTTTTGTAAACTCTGGGAACTTTCTTTCCATGAATTTTTCCTTTGCACAACTCTCTTGTTCTCCTGGCTGGACTGGCAGTCACTGGTCTACTCCTAGAATCCTGGGAAGAGTGAGAGGAGCCCTAGAGATAATGCGTTTTCTGGGCCCATGGAGACTGTTTCCTCTGGCACAGAGTTGCAATGGTCGCTGTGTGACTTGGGAAAGACTTGTTTTTCCTGTAGCATGCACTACGCATGTTCTAGGGACATACTGAAAGCCATATGGAGCATCAAGGCCCTTTCTGACTCCACTCAGCCCCCTGCATAGTAAATTTATAGTCATTAGGCCCATTTTAGACAAGCATAGAGCAGCCATGATTTGAACAGATCCTTGCTTTAACCTCTTGTGTATGCTCATCTCTGGGAGAGCAGGGAGTTCTTGATCCTTAGCCCATTCAGGGAGGTCTTTAAAACAAAACAAAACAAAAACCTCTGTGTTTTCTTTTCAGTGCCTAGAGCTGCTAATCTCAACAGTGCCTAAGAACTTTAAGTAGAAGGTGATACCAGGCTCCCAGGAAATAAGGATAATTACTCAATTCTCCATCTCCTGAGTCTTTTGTGTCTCATACCCAGCACTGTCTGGCTCTTCCCTTCTGTGGTTCAAGAGGTGGCTCTTCCATCCTGCTGTGGGCACAGCTGTCATGGGTAGTGGAGTCAAGGGGGTGGAGTGCTGCTTGTTTCCTTCGTTACCTCTTCTTTCTTCTCTGCAGCTCCTGCTCAGGCCCAAATTATCCATGCTGGGCAGGCGTGTGTAGTGAAGGAGGACAACATCAGTGAACGTGTTTACACGATTCGGGAAGGGGACACGCTGGTCCTGCAGTGTCTGGTCACAGGACACCCCCGGCCACAGGTAAGACTTCAGTCTCACCTGTCAGCAGGATGCCCAACTTTATCCTGCATGTTGGAGCCAGGTAGTGTCCTATAGCCCAAATATTAACTGTTCAAACTGTGAAGAAGCCTTGTTTTTCAAGCAATACGTTCCAAACTGCTTTTCAGGAGCCTACCCAAAACATCTAGTGGTATTCAGTGCGTGAAGTTTCTCTCAAAATAGAAGAGCCCATTGTACAATCCATCCTCAAACCTTTGATCTCACGTTCTACAAAAACCTGAACAGACTAGAGGAGATTTGACCCACGTGCTGACCACAGAAGTAGCTCCTTCATGGCTCATCTCTCTCTTTGATTCTCTGGTTGTGCAGGCAAGGAGGAACTTGCCTGGGGGAGTTCAGAAAGTTGCTTGTAGCGTACTCTGTAGAGCTCCACAAAGAGCCCACTGGTCCTTGCTTTAGAGCCATCAACAAGAGGCAGATTCAGACCTGTTGTGCTGGATGTGCTCATGCTGTCGTCAGTCTCAGCTCAGTGAGGAGGCTTGGCAGTGAATATGGCTAACTGCTGCAGTCCTTCCTCGGGGCCCCTGAAGGGCTGCATATCCTCAAGTCCTGTGCAACCCCCTCTGCACCCCTCAGATACTCGGAGTAGGCTGTTTCAATATCAGTGTAAATGGTGTCTATAAAGATGCTCAGTCAAGAGCATGGGTCTGCCTGCTCTTGGACAGTGTGGAAGGCATGGCAGCTGGTGTGTGCTGGGAGGCAGCGTATGCCAGAATATGCTCAAGGGATCCAAGTATGATATGTGCACCTTCTTGGCCCTCTTTTTCAGTCATTCCAATCAAAGGCATTTGTGCTGAGCAGTACACATTAGCATGTGTCAGTCAACCTCTCCATGGACTTGCTTGTGAAGAGATGGTTTACTGAGAGGAGACAACAAAGGAGCAGGAGAGAGGCTCAGCAGGATTTGAAATGAATTGTCCATCAAAGCATATCCTGGAAGCAATTAAAATATAAGTAAATCTGAACCAAGACAGCAAGAATGACCAGCCTAGACTTGTGAAAGTGCTAGGTGGGTGATAGCTGTGTACATCAGAAGTGAGGAGGATGGTGGGGCTGGCTCTACCTAAGGATGTTGAACATGTTGCTGGTTGTGGAGATTTGAACCTGAGAAGACAGATTTCTGTAGCAGAGCCTGATGCAGACAGCATGCTTGTGGGCAACACTGAGGTGTGATATTGCCTGGACACACCCAGGGGACACTTGTAATGCAGAGCCAGGCATGATGAGGGAGGCCTGGCACCTGTGCATTAAACATGGGATGTGTCCTATTTCTGCCCCCTCTCTTCACAGATAGATTTCTTTCTCAGCTAAGCTCTTTTCCTAGCCTTTGTTTAATCTTTTCCTTCTTATCAGGCAGTCATTAAAGTATGAAAATGTGGCCAAAATACTTAAATGAGATTGAAATTGAAAAGATTAAAGAGCTGGCTGAAGTATTTTTGCAAACAGGAGACTTGATGCCCTCAGACAATTTCATAATAAGCCTACAAAGGCTAAATAAATCCTTGATCATTAGCTCCAAAGTCTGCTCAGCCTGGTGCTGTGAGACTGTGATTTAAACATGCCTGTCGTTTCTAGAGCGCCAGCATCAATCAGAAGGTGGCAGTGAGCTTTAGGCAAAGCCTGGGGTCAGGGGTCAAGGAATCTGGTCCTTCCCATCTATTGCCAAAGTTGAATGAATGTCTGTCTCCTTTCTGTTGGCAGATCCTGTTGGATCCCAGCCCCAGAGACTAGATGGCGCAGGTGTGGGAGCCATCAGTGTCATCAGCCTTTAGAAGGGTAGTTTGTGATATAAGCAGTCAATGGGCTGAAGTAAGCCGTCTCTACCTTCTATCACCTGGGCTGTAGAAAACGAGGGCAAGCTTGTACCAATGCTGCTTAGACTACACCTCATTACAAGCCTTAAAATACCTTTCAGTCTTTAGAAGTGTTGTCCTCTTGCCAACATTCATTATGAAATACTGAGTCACTATGTTGCCCCCATCAGTCAGGACTTTGAGACACGTAACATATGGTCAGAAATCCAAGATACCCTGAAATCTGAAGGGATTCTTGTTTCTTTTCTTTGTTTTAAAATCAAAGTAAAAGTTTGTGTACTGCAGAAGGGTGACATATAAAAGTAACATACGTGGGGTTCCCTGTGGGAAGGAGGTGAGAGCCACATAGTGACAGCAGTTTCAACTGTTGGAAAAGCAAACAGCAGAAATAACCTTGCTGTCCAGAGAAAGATGAAAGGGTGCTGACTGCAATAAAAGTTCTGTAGCTGTAAGCTGATGTCTTCTATAGCTTCATGGCCTGCGAGCCATGTGGGATCCTGAGGCTTAACACTGAAAGTCCTGTGCTGCTCAAACAGTGATATTAAACTGAGTCAGAGGACAAGAGCAGGGGTGATGAGTGTGCTTTGTGTGTGTCTGTGATCTGAAGGATTATCCCAGGTGCTAGGACATGAGAATTGGTGATGGCTAAGAATTAGCAGCTAGTTTGCAGAGACATACTGAGATCAGCAATTGAACTTTGGTAGTCTGGTGGTGCTTTGGGGCCCATTTCTATAAACGGCTGGGGAGGGGAGAAAAGGGAGCTCTGCTGTCCCCTGGGATCTCTGGTTTCTGTTGCTGGTAGACTGTGTTTCTCTTTCTTGTGCAGGTGAGATGGACCAAAACAGCTGGCAGCGCATCGGACAAATTCCAAGAGACGTCAGTGCTTAACGAGACCCTTCGGATTGAGAAGATCCAAAGGCTGCAGGGGGGCCGCTATTACTGTAAAGCAGAAAATGGGGTTGGGGTCCCTGCCATCAAGTCCATTCGAGTAGATGTGCAGTGTAAGTCGTTTAGTGGCAACCCAGATCTTCCCACAGTTCTACTGTGTGTCTCTGTCTTGCTGCGGGGCTAGTAGGGAGCTGCATTGCCCTAGGACTGTGTGCACCTAATTCAGTGGCAAAGGGACTATTATGCTGTTTTTCCCTAGAGATCAGATATCCATCTGGGAAAAAGATGGCTCTGCCTGTCCAGGCCAATGCTCTTTTCTAGGTATTGTGGTGTCTGCCACTACAAGAAGTCCTAGCATTAGCGTGGGATGTAGCGTTGTAGATGGCTTCTGCAGTCTTTATCTTCATTTTGAAGCTGGCTTGGTTCTTGAAATCAGTACTTCTTCAGATGTCTGGAGTGTTTCTGAAACCCCACATCTCAAACTGCAGTGCGGTGGAAACAGAGCAAAAGATTCTGGGATGCATCTGAAGAAGCTGAGCTGTGAAAGGACAGACGTGAAGGAAACTACTGAGGATCCCTTGGTTTCAGAAGTGACTTAGTATTTCTCTGGCTGTTTGCAATGCCTGTCTATCTTGTGTTCTGGCAATGCTATTAGGAGCTCTCCACCTTTGAAGGTTCTCATGCTGATTCTTGGGCATTCTTATATTTATTCTTGGGCAATTGTGGCTAAAAGAGAGGGTTAGGCTTGTCCTATACTTCCCAGATAGGAGGAATTGGAGATTTAAGGTCTAGGCAACTTTTGAAGAGGTTTGCCCTCAAGGATTAAGATTCTGCTCATTGCTTTTGGCTATCCACTGTTCCAGATTCCTCCGATCTTATTAGCACCACATCCCACTCCTCACATCATCTGAGAAGGTCCAGCAATGGACTGATGCAAAAGTTGCAAATGATTATAAAGCCCTTCTAGCAAGGTGGCCTTTTGTGCTGATGTAACTGTTGTCAGCGGAGCAGTCTTCAGGCTTAAAAACCCCAGGATGTGCTTGAAGTTTGGGCAGAGACTTTGCTTGCAGGAAACACTGCCTGGTTGCATCCTTTTACCGCCGCTATCCAGTCTTGAAATGAGAGCTAGTGTGTTCACGCGCTGTGCTACGTTCTGTTTAGATTTTGTCTGTATGTGAAAATCCTTATGCTTGGGTTACCTCATGATCCGTATTCGTGTTATCTAGCTTGGAGTGGTTTTCATCTCCCTCCTTTCCTTTCCCTACCCTGTATGGGCAGTAGTAGAGCATGAGCAGCATCCCACAGATCTGGAGTATATGCATGAGTGTCCAACCTTTTGGCTTGTCTGGGCCACACTGAGTGATGAGGAATTGTCTTGAGCCACGTGTAAAACACGCAATATAGTTAGAGCATGTCAGTAACAAAAACTGTTTTTTTATTTTTTTTTTACTATTTTTTTTATTAAATCATTTTTAAAGAAGGGCAAAAGTCATAAAACTAGCAGATTGGACACGTATGGCAGATCACTTCATCTGAGCCTCTTGCCACTTTGAATAGGATGAATGTTACTTCATGGGCATTGCATAGCTTTGTTGGAGAAGTTCTGACACCCACCAAGCTCTGCTTGGCTTCTCTAACCATTTTCTCTCTTGTATTCAATAACTCTCCATATTAAAAGAGTCTGGCTTTTCTCAGTACTCAATATGGCAACTTGTCAGAGTCTTAGTCTCTAGGAATTGTACTGTTGCATGATGTGGGCTATGGGAATTCCCTTTACTTCTGAGATGCAGACTGGAACTAGAGTGATGTAGCATCCTGTTGTCCTTTATGCAGCTCTGACCTGTAGAACTGTGGGGCTAATGGGATGGCCAAGGGCTTTCTCATACTAACATCTACTCTGAAGATGGACTTGGTAATGCACCTCTGTTCTGCTCACTTGGTTTTTGGGGAGGAGAATCTATTTTCTGTTAGTATTTGCAATAGATATAAGGGAACACATAGGAACAGCCACAGTTTTTGTTGAACGCTCACCCGGGCAACCTTCATCTGAATGAACCAGAATTTGAAAATACAACCCTTTTTTCCCCACATCCCTATTTGTAGTTAGAGGTAAGTAATCACTCTCATTTGGACCTTGATGTCTTTTGACAGCCAGTACTACTCTTCACTCATAGTATTAGACAGAAAGGTTGTGTGAAGAGCACTGTTGGTACCAAGAGGATATCAAACTGGAAGCACTAACCTGTGTAGCAAGTTATTCCTTTGCCCCGAGTGTGTGTTGAGTGAGACTTTAAAGTGTTGTTCAGATGCTGGCATAGAGGCAGCTGCAGAGTGGAGTATTTTTATGTGCAAGAGAGGGAAAGGAAAGAAAAAGAAAGAAAGATGTTTACAAGCTTATATTGCGCACGAAACATCCCATGTGATCTTCTCCATGAGCCGCCTTGGGCCAAATTTATCATTCGTGCAGCTCACTGACATCAGTGGCTTTACTCGTACATCAAGCACACGTGTATCGTCGTGGGTCTTATTTCAGCTTTTCTCAGGAGGACTAGGCTTACAGTTGACTGTTATTAAAGAAGGATGGAAGATTTGAAGGAGGAAAGGTCTAGTAAGAAAAAGGAAGGTAATATTTTCTATTTGGGGAGTAGCTGGGAACCAGCAGACTTGAATGGAGAGTGCCTTCTTTGATGGATAAGGGAAGTGTTTTGCCAAGCAGAGAAACGGGGCCTCAGAGGGGTGGTAGCTACTGAGTTATTCATCTAAAGGGTGAACAAACAAAGGGGGATTAAGGAATGCAGAAGAAGAAGAAGAAGAACAGTGCCCAAAGTCCAGATCCAAGAGATTTAAAACTTAGTCATGGCCATATGGAGAAAGTACTTTATGGACAGAGGCTGTTTATCTCCACTTGTGTATGTTTTTCTACAGTATTAGATGGTTTTTGTGTGTTTTGATTTTGTTTTCTCCTGCCTTGTCCACGACTCTACTCATCTCTCTGAGCTATGTTATGGGCAAGCCAACAAGTATACATCTTACAAAATATGCAAATCCAACAGTTAACACTTGTGATTCAGCAGAGAACATACGTTATTTGGATGACTTGTTAGCAGAAACTCATCTCTCCTCCCCCACTTCCTTCCTGGGAGCCAGACTTCCAAACTTGCAAATCTCTAAAATAATGTATCTTGAAAATTAGGTGACACACAAGAGCTGGAGGTGATGGGCACATGTCCTCTTCCTCTCTGCTGTTATTTGCAGAAGACAGTGCTGGCAACAGACGGGCATTCTGGATATGTGTGCTTCAGTTGTTTTGCAGTTGAAGATGGGTTCATAAAGCTTCTGAAAATACAGAAGTGCTTCACTGAGCTAAACAGACTACTTTGAAGACATGCTTAAGGTCATGGGGCACGTTTCAGTTTTAGAGGGCAAAGTTGTCCCAGCTTTTCAAATGGGATTTTTACGTTTAATCCTACTCAACATCATAGTGGTTCTGGAAGGGGAAAGAACTCTGAGGTTTTTCCTTTCTCTGTGCTTCCTTGACTTCTTGATGTTCAGACAATGTCTGAAGGAAAAAAAGAAAAAATCTAACAAGGTAAATATCTCCTTTTTAGCAGGAAGGCAACCAGTAGGCAGCAGTGTGACCTGGATGGAAGCAGAAAGTACCCTCCAAGTGCCCTCCCTCCAGGGCTATTGCTTGTGTCCTTGCAAGTGAAGTTATTGATAACCACTGAATCAATGGCAACAGTTGTGTGATGTGGCTATGGTGAAGGAAGATTTGGAAGGACTAATTTCTGTAAAGGGAGAAAAGAATCTGATCAGTTTAGGGGTGAGTGATAGAGATGCAGTTGGTAGATGTTACTGAAGAGTCAGCACAAACATTGTGAAGCAGAAAATACAGGCAGTACTTAAACTGAGCATAAGAGGGAAGTTATACACACCTATCACTATGTTTTGCCTCTCATGTTCTAGCTGCACTCCATCAAGACTTGCTGCTGTCTAGGACATTGATCTTGTCCTGGTTTCTATCCTCACCCCTTGACTTATCAACCATGGGCTTAGCCCTGTGATTTCAGAAGGGAGCAGAGGAAATGAGGATGTGGTAGAGTTTCCTGGGATCCTTCCAGCTTCTCGCTGAAGCTGATAATGGTGATTTTAGGTGTGAGGTGTCATTGGTGGTCAGACGACCAGCCCGTTGGTCAGACAGGTGTGTGGCAAACAGGTGGTTTACTGGAAGGCCACATAGAATCCGCAAACTGGAGGATGCTTTCTATTCTTGGAATGTTGTATGGTGAGCGGGAGAATTCTGGCTTCTCCTGTCTGTTCCCTTTAGATGCTGTCAGTATTACCTGCCTTCAGATCAGTTCTGAATTCAGCAGTTGTCCTTGGCTAAATGTATGAGAGCTACCCCTCTCCCCTACAGCCCTGGAGCATCATCTGCTCTGCAGGCTGTACATGCAGACAGTGCTTCACTAACAACTGCTGCGGCCCTCCTTACCTTCCTTCCAGATCTAGATGAACCTGTCCTCACTGTTCATCAGACCATCAGTGATGTACGTGGCAGCTTCTACCAGGAGAAGACTGTCTTCCTCCGTTGCACCGTCAACTCCAACCCACCAGCTCGCTTCATATGGAAACGGGGAGCTGAGACACTTTCCCACAGTCAGGACAATGGTGTGGACATCTATGAACCCCTCTATACACAGGTGAAAAAAAGCAAACCTCCACGAGCTTGTGATCGACATCTTAGTGTGATGTAGTGCCTTCTGTACCGGATGATGTTTCTCTCTCTGTGTGGGTTACAATGGTGGGGAGAGGGTGGTGGGCACTGCAAGGAGCATCAGCTTCAAAAGGGCTGGTAGTGTGTTCTTCTGTTTGTAGGTCCTCAGGGAGAAAGAGAAGCAGGAGAGCAAGAGGGAACATGACAGCCTAGTATCCTTGGCTTGGCATTTTTTCCCCATTTGGTACTGTCCTTGAGTGCAGGACCGATTTTCCCTAATAAGTTTTATGTTGCTGATGACTCAGTAGTTCTGAATGTACTTAAGATGTCAGTCAGCACTAGAACTTATGGAGGATGACTAGGATGGGTAAGAAGGGAGGGCTAGGTGGGCAGTTCCTAAGGGCACCCATTTCATCCCACATCCAGTTCTGCTCTCAGGCACTCCCAAAGCTGGGCCCTAAGCACATTGTGACTGAGTTTGATTTTTTTGAGCATGCTGTAGGCAACCTTTTAGTTAATGCAGTCATGTTCATATTTTATTGAAACACGCTATTTCTGCAAGCTGTGGAAATTAGGCAGCCAAATGGAAACACACAGGCAGATTAGGGGAGACACAGTGCTTTGGGTTCCCAAGCAGACTGTAGAAACGCTGTAGGTCAGTGCTGTTTTGGTCCTGAAGAGAGCTCTGTCTTGTGTGGTGCTCTGTGGCATCCAACCAGGACATCCCTGGCCTCAGAGGAAGCCACTCCAGGCACATCCAGCTTTCGTTAAGCTCTTTATGGTTAACAGGATACATTGCTTAGGAAGAGGATGTCCTAGTACTTGAGATGTTCTCTCCATCTAAATAAGGCATTCAGTGGAAGTTCACTGTAGTGCCAGGTTAACATGTAAATGACCCCAAACCCTGCAGCTCCAGTCAGGCAGTGTTCCTACCCTGATGAGCCTTTGGGTTGAGAAGAGTTGAAATTAGGTGAAGCACATGTGGAGAGTAAAACCTTCCTGGAGCTCAAATAAATTGTGCTTAACAAAGCGCTCTTCACAGAGCTCGTAGAATTGTCTGAGACAAGCCAGATGAACTGCTATCAGAGCCAGGTTCGGGTAGCCCTTTGCACTAGAAAGGACAGAAAGATTTTGCTGTCTAGGCTTTTAAAAACTTATTTACACTGAAGGTTTATATGCATTTACTAATCAATAAATTGGATACATATGACTGTATAAGTCACTAGCTGACATGCACGTTGTAAATGCCATCATTTGCGCAGCATAGCAACGAATCTTAGGGGACAGGACTTCCGTAGGGTTATTGGTCTCCTAGGTATTTATCTTCCTAATTTACTCAGTTCAAATCCTTGTTCTATGCATATTAGCATGCCTGAGCTCATCGTCCAGTCCCTTGAGGTTGCCTCAAGAGGATTTGTCATGCTGACACCTTCTCACATTTACAGGCAATTATGGAATGGTTTCTCCAAAAGAGATTTAGACAAGCACAAGGAGCACAGCAGCGACAAGCTGTCGTGAGAAGACGTATGAGTTGCAGGGTGTGCAAACCACAGGATGCATCTCTGAGCTTTCTGCATTCCATAAATAAAAATTTACAGAACACATCTATTGTTAATTTAACAACTTTATTCTGCTTTTATAACATGATAGAGTGTCAGCAAGTGATTCTTGTGCTTGTTTGTTGCCATAGCATGAGAAAAGGCTATCAAACTCAGTGCAGACACTCTGGATTTATGCCAGTGTAAATGAGATTAGAATCTGGAGAAAAGAGATCAAAAGAGTTGAGGGGAGGGGATATTTGAGTATTTCTCTAAATTACCCTTTTTTTTTTTTTTTTTTTTATGGAATTGTAATATTTTTTTTTTTTTTTTTTTTTGTGGCTTAACTATTGATCATGCCATATTTAAGTCAGCATCAGCCCTGGTTTACTTTGTTTTTGCAATACTGAGACTCCCATCACTTTATTTAGGCTCCCACTGACATCTCAGTGTGAGCTCAGGGGCTGTCCTTGGACATTTAAGGCTTTTTTTCTTTCCATGAGATGACTGTGACAAAAGCTGACAAGAAATTAAACCTAGACCCATTCGGCACCGCTTCCAGGTTTTGTGACATTTGCTGGGCATTCTGAGAAACTCAGAGCAGTCCCTGCAAATGCTTTGTGTCTCCTATGTGTATAGCTAGGAGGGTTTGGAGTCTGCACAGCTTCCTGAGGTTTGAATGGTTATTACTTGTAAGCTCTGGGCCCGGTGATTGACTTGCAGTGATGAGCTGTACTTTGTACATATACATCTTTCTCCTCCTTTCTTCCTGACTCCCAGGGTGAAACCAAAGTTCTGAAGCTGAAGAACCTGCGGCCCCAGGATTACGCCAGCTACACATGCCAGGTGTCTGTCCGCAACGTCTGCAGCATCCCTGACAAATCGATCACCTTCCAGCTCACAAACACCACAGGTAATGCAGCAGCCTGCAGAGCAGCCATGGCCTCTCCAGGCCTACAGCTTTTAGAAAATCACCTCCATTTCACACACGTGGCTGACGTTGTAAATCCTTAAGGCAGGAACTCTGTGGTCAGGGATGCTTTAATTTCTTGCAGCCAGTGCCATGACTAGGCCTGCTGTGTGATCATTAAAGCAGACTATATGTAGGTGTTGAGGCACAACGGAGTTTTTAATCCAGACGCTGTTTTATTTATTTATAATTCTAAGTGATTTTAAAAATAAATTTCATACAGTCTGGAGCAAGGCAGCTGCTGCAGAAGTCCTTACAAATAATTAATCTATGACTGTGTGCTACTTTGCAGTGCTTCACTTAGAGCACTCCCAGCCCAAGGTTCCCGTGAGTACAGATGTTTTTGGAAGGCAAATATCTCTGGTGCCTTCCCAATAAATGAATCCTAGAACTGCACACACATGCACTGATATCCATGCAGGCAGGGTCTGAGTGCACCTCCAGTTGCAAACAGAATCAATTTGGTACCCCTCGCTTGACATGCATGCAACAGCTGAAATCATATACCAGATGCATTGCAAAGACCTGACTGTAACCAGTCCGTTGAACAAGAGGGGAAAAAAAAAAAAGCAACCCACACCATTACAGAGTCCCCACTTGTCTTGAATATTATCAAATAATAAGTAAATGTCAGAAAATTGCTTCCAGCTCTGGGGTATTTCATGATCAGAAAGGAAGGCAATGTAGGTGTTTGAATTATTCACCTCTCTCTTATGTAGCACAGAGTAGTTTGTATCCCTGGTGTCATCTTTGTGCCATAGAAACAACACCTTTTGACAACTGTTGATGGGATATTGTTGATACAGTATAAATTATGTTTATTGATCTGACTGAGCCCACGGTGCTGAACGATAGTTGCTTCATTTTATTTAGAAAGAAGAAAAAGTCAACTACAACTCATGTTGGAGTAAAAATATTCCCCTTATGGTAAGATCTCTGTGAGATCTTCTCAGGCAACTCATGTCACTTCCTGAGCTTGTCTCAGAATGAAACTGCAGAGAATGCAGGAATATTCTCTTTAAAAGCCTCGTGCTCATAGTAAGGAAAGGGATCTCTGCCATCTGCTATTTCCTACTGTGGCTTTACTTTTGTAAAGTTTAAAAAAAAAAATCACACTTCTCTTCATGCCCCTTCCCCTCTGCCAGTCCAGCCCTTCATTTCAGCTCAGCCCTTTTATTGAGTGAATAGAAAAATGTATTTTTAAGTTGTTGCCAGATCAGAAGCCAGCATAGATCTGAATTCATAGAATCATTAAGGTAAGGAAAAGATCTCTCAGATCATCTAGTCCAGCCATTGACCGACCCCTGCCGTGCCCACTGACCATATCCCTCAGTGCTATATCCACATGGCTCTTGAACACCTCCAGGGGTGGTGACTGCACCACCTCCTTGGGCAGCTGTGCCACTGCATCACCATCTTTAAGAGAATAAAATTCTACTAATATCCAACCTGGACCACTCCTGGCATACCTTAGAGCTGCTACCTCTTGTCCTATTAAACACCAGCTTATTAGGTACTTATCAAAACTCTGAACTTGGTTTGTATATCTTATGCATCTAGTTATCTTTTTCTTGTGCTTTAGCTGTAAATGCATGCTTACGTGTGGTTATAAAAGAGCCTGACACCACATGCTCAAAGACTATGGATAATGTGTTCCCATTAAATTGTTTTCAAAAGCTACACATGAAAATGAAGCTGGTGTTGCACTAAAGGTAGGGTTTGTATTAAATAGCATGAGAATATTTATCATTAAATATTATCTGGCTTACTTACAATGTTGGTAGTGTTTGTGCAGAGGTGAGAAAATACTGTAAAAAGAAATTGTAGTTCTCTCCTTGTTTTGCATAGATCTCTTTTCCTCTTGTGTTCATGCAGCAGCAAACTCCATAGCCTCCTTCCCTCAGGATGCCTTGCAACTGAGAAGGGTCCAAAGGGTGCAGAGGTGCATGGAAATCAATTTCTTAAACGTTTATAGACCCAGCTGCAATTGACTTTGAGAGGAACTAGTGGAACAAGAGAACCTGCTCTTCTCAGTCTGTTTGCTCCTCAGATAGTTCACTTGGGCTCTCTGGGCAGTTGCCTTTAGGCAGGCCACAGTGTCCAGCATGGAGATGTGCTTCTCCCCAGCCCAGTGTCAGAAGCTTGGCCCTCACAGCAGGCAGAGAGCTCTCAAGTCTTCAGCCTCAGCAGGAAGGAGGCTTTCCCTTGCTGCTGTCCTGTGGCTCTGGAGCAGCAGGTTGGATCCAGCAGAACCACGGCGCCAGCTCAGCACCAGGCTGTCATTGCCTGCTCTGGCAGGGCAGGGCTGATGTTTTCTCTTTCCTTGATTTCTGCAAAATTAAGCAGCCCAGCTGGTTAATTCTCCTGCAGTTTTACTGCAGCAAATTGGACTTCAAAGGGAATTGAAAGCGACTCTTTGTTTTTAATGGTCCCCTTGCTTCTCTGCAGACTCTGCCAGCAGGTTTTCTGAGCCAAGAACAAAAGGAATTGCCACAGGTTACAAATAAATGAGATTCATCTCATGCATAACAATGTCTGCAGCTTGTTAACCCCTGTCTATTGATAGGAGTGGGAGTGGGATCCCATGCAGACTGCCACAGCCAGGGCTCCATTTTGGGACTATGGAGGCTCTCTGCCTCAAGCTGTGTGGGTGGCAGCTTTGCAGCTTTTCTGCTTTCAATCTTATATGCAACCTGCCCCAAGGCAGTGCTTGCCCAATGCATCACTTCTTTTCCATGCTTCCTTGCCCAGAACATGTTACAGCTTTGCAAGGTGAGTGTTCATCCTATCTGCACATCAAGCAACACAGGATCCTAAAATCTTAACCAAAGGCTGCAGGAGTTCTGGTTCATACTAACTGACGTATTCTTTCTGGGTGTAAGCAGGTTTCAACCTTTCTCTAGCTCGGATGTAGATGCAATGATGCCCCCAGGCAAGATGCTGCATCTAGCAGCTTGTCTGTGTTCTTGACTGAGACTTGTTCAGTGTCAGGGGGCAGGAATAGCTATATGGTATCAGTTGTATTCCTTCTCGCCACAGAAAAGTGTCCTGCCTAGGCCACAGTCTGTTGAGGTATTTTGTTTGCTAGGTTTCACCAAGTTTCGTGAGGTCATCTGGAGCCCAGAGAGGACAAATCCTTGCTTTGTCACTTAATGAGCCTTTGGGCATGGGTTTCTCTCCTGGAATGCTGGAAGCAATCACAGATCCTGAGTGCAGGCTGTGGCCACTCAAAATTCAAGGGCTCCAACCACAGGCTTCAGAATGGCCAGAAGTGCAGGAGGCAGAGGAGTAGCCCTCATCCTTAAGCATAGCTGTCCACATCTGGTTGCAAAAAGCACATACCACGGCCAGGGAGAGGGTATTGCATTTAGTGTGCTAACGCAGTATTCCAGCATAGTAGTAGTTGCAGTGCTAAATTATGGTGCAGGTGCTGAGAAGGGAGCACTCCTCCTTGCCTTGTTTGTAAGAGCTGTAATTCAGAGATCCAACACCAACCCAGCACAGCTCATTAACACAGGGTCCAGGGAGAGGGAGGCTGAAATAATGATGCTGTTAAATCAAGCTTCATGAATATGGAACAATGTCTTATTTTGCATTATTATGGCAGTTACTTAAAACATACTCCCAGCCTTTGTGCTGTGGACTGCTACTTTCTCAGTTCTGTCTGGATGGAGCCAGCAGTGATGCTGACAAGGGCTTTAAAAAGCTTGTCTTGGGATGAGGCAGAGAATGCAAAGGGAGGATGCAATGAAACTGAAAATACAAGGGGAGGAGTTTGGGATCAGTCTGGGGAGAGAGGTGTAGTGAGAAGAGTGCAGAAATAAAATAAGCCAAAACCATATAGTAGGTTGTTCGAAGGATAAGTTGTCTATACATTTTGAATAATTCCCAATTGTTCAGCGGTGCATGAAAGAGCATCCCAGGACTTGATTTACAGTCTGCAGGCCAACGTGGAAATCTATTTGATACCTGTGTGATGGGTGAGGGTTGCTATTCATGGTCTGGTTTTCCAGACCATGGATTTTCCATTGCCAAATTATGTCTTATTATTTTTCCTATCTGTGCAAGGAGAGCTTGTCAGGCTTTTCTCCTGAACTGAGTCCTAAGCCTAGAGAACTTGCAGTGAACAATCTTAAAATACTGTACCTAGCTGTGTCCCTTTTCTGAGAAATGGCTGTGGGGTGTTTTAAGCATGGCCTCTGGTCTGGGTTGTCTGGAGGCCCTGCTTGCAGTTTTCTAACCTTACAAGAGAAGGATGCTTTAACTCAAAAAGGTGTGTTAACATTAATTCATTACAGGTAAAAAGCATTACTGAGTCCCTGCAGCTCTCCTTTCTCAAACCAGCTAACTTCAAGAAGAAACCCTAGAAAGAACAAAGCTGTTGACAGGTGAGCGGACAGGTCCTTTTCAAGCTTAGAAGTGTCCCTCTTTGTCCTCTTCCAGCCCCACCTGCTCTGAAACTGTCAGTCAATGAAACATTGGTGGTCAACCCTGGTGACAACATCACTATGCAGTGCTCTCTGACAGGCGGTGACCCACAGCCAGAGGTGCTTTGGTCTCATTCTCCCGGCCTGCTGCCTCCCAACAGCCTTGTGCAAGGAGGCAACCTCACCATCTGGAGGATCCGCGTGGAGGACTCAGGATACTACAACTGCACAGCCATAAACAACGTGGGGAACCCAGCAAAGAAGACAGTGAACCTACTCGTGCGGTGTAAGTTGCTCTTTTTCTCAGAGGAGGAGTTAGATTTGCATTCCCCCTGAGTGTTCTTATACAACTAAGGGATGCTTAGCAGAAATCAGTACTCTGGAGAAGCTGTTGTGCAAGCTTCTGTGCTCCCAGATCAAGAGCTGTGCTTTGGCTACTTCCAGCCTCATCCTAGGCTGCATCGCTATCCTGGGCTAGACAGGGATCCTAGTCTTACAGGTGTGAGGCCTTGGGGATCTCTTGTGGGAGCTTAGCTAGAGAAGGTCTTGGGACATATATATTGTACAGAGTTGCTGCCCTCCAAAGGAGTGAAGGGCTGTTGTCTTGTGTCATGTGAGGCTCTTTGCTGACCCTAAATGGTTTTGCATTTGTGTTCATTCCAGCCATGAAGAATGCCACGTTCCAAATCACCCCTGATGTGATCAAAGAGAGTGAGACCATCCAGTTAGGGCAGGACTTGAAACTCTCATGCCACGTGGATGCTGTCCCCCAGGAGAAAGTTGTCTACTCCTGGTACAAGAATGGGAAACCAGCCAGGTTCTCAGACCGGTTACTCATCACCAGGAATGACCCTGAGCTCCCACCTGTGACCTGCAGCTTGGAGATTATCGACCTGAGATTCAGTGACTACGGCACCTACCTGTGTGTGGCCACCTTCCAGGGAGCACCCATTCCTGACCTCAGTGTGGAGGTGAACATCTCCTCAGAGACAGGTGAGCCTTTCTGTGACATCTGGGGACCTTCTGGACATCACATCCTCCACCTCCATCCCACAGTAAGACTATTCAAAGAAGGCACCAGAGTGTTCAGGAAGATAGAGGAAATGATATTTCACCAAATTTCAGAAGTCCTTTTGCTTAGAAGGGAGTAAAAGAAAAAATAAAGCTGTTCATTGCTTTCTTTGGCATAGCTTATGAGGAATATTTTCAGAGCTATGATCAGAAGATTGGTATCATCTGTTATAGCAAATTCTGTGGAAAGATTTAATGTAATGTTTACTAGATTGCAATTTCAGTCTGTGTTGGGTACTCTCTGCAGGACTCCATGTGTCACAAATGCCCTTCACCTTTAAAACCAGGGTCAAAACCTCACCCTGTGGGTTGGTGAGGACAACCCTAAGATATAGGCGAGCTTGAGAGTCTCCCTGGGGACTAAAATTCAGAGTCTCAGAGCTGCATCTTTGCTTCTGGAAAAGCTGGTGGATCCAGGTCTACCCTTCAATGTATCCATGTCATCTTGCTGTCTTTCCAGGACCTTGAGAGTATGGCACAATACAAGTTATCTGGCGAGGGCAGTCAGCTGCTCATAGAGCTTGTCTTGAAGCTTCATAAGAAGTTTATTTTCAGTCTCTGGTTGTGCTGAACCCATTATTTGGGCTGGTCCCAATGCCATTTCTGGACCCTTATTGCTTCAGCGCCCTTGCAGAAAGCAGTGTTGTACTGCTTCTGCTGATTCAGGAATCTGTCTCAGCAGAAATGCTGGGACCAGTCTGCTCCCAGTGAGACTTAACTCACATTCACCAGCAGCCTGAAGACTGAACCCCTACCTTGCCATGGACCGAAAGACACCATGGCTGGTGCTTCCACTCTGCTAGCAGCCCCTTTGTCCTGTAGGTCTTGCGTGGGGGTCACCGCCACTGTGAGTAATTCTTTTTGCCCAAGAGCAGTAAATGCCAAAGTGCACTTGTGTTTAAGGATACAAAAGGGGGGAGACAGCAAAGAGCTGAGAGACCCTGGATGATCCCACCAAGGAGCTGGGCAGCTCTGTTGGCACAGGGGTTGGCCCAGGTTCCCAAGGGAGGTGTCTGCAGCAGTTGCTCTGTGCTGGTGGAGAGTGAGAGGCATACACTCACATGGGTTGCTGGTGGCGAAGGTCATCCTGGCCATTCTGAAGCCTCACTTCAGCAGCTTGGTCCAGCAAAGCCCCTTTTGTGACTGAGGGAGTGAACGCCATTGTCCTTGCTGGAACAGCCCTCAGGTAGCATGAGCCCACCAGCAGCAACCAAACCACATCCAACACGTGGTTCCTGCATAAAATCTTGGTGGGTTTTCCTGAGTGCAGGATCCGTGCAGAAGAGCAGCAGTGGCAGTTCCAACAAGAAAGACCTGAGCTCATCAAGGTGGCTGCTTCCACAGCGTGGCTCTGAGGAGACAGCTTTAATTAAAAAAAAATCTTCAAATGCAATTTTCAGCTTTTCCCCATGGAGAAAATTACTTCTAGCAGGTAAGTGAGTGGCTGCTGGCACTGTTGGCGCTGAGAGTGTTGTTGTCCATCGCGCTGCACAGGACAGGGTGTGATGAGGTTTCCCCAGCCCATGGGAGACTTGTAAATTGAAAATGCAGCCTCCTTGTTGCATTGGGAGATCACTGCTGAGGGAGATGGGGCTGGAGCCATCCTAAATCTTCTTTAAAGCAGCTGTAGGCTGTAATGTGTGCAATTATTTAGCACACTCTTCCTTGCTGGAACTGAACTGAGCTAATATTGGTCAGGCTAGCTTGTTACAGCTGTCCTAAGCTTTGCTTTAAATGGAAATGAATTACACAGTTATGGAAGTGTCAATCCAAGTGTCACCATTGTCAGCTGGAAGGGCTGAAAGAGGAGCTTTCAGAAAACGACTGCTGCCCTTCCAACTCAAATGATTCTATGATTCTATATTTACTTCAGTTGAACAGTTAACTCAGAAGCGTAATACAAATTAAATGTCAACATTACGTGGGTTTTAGCATGAGCTTTCCCTTCCTGGGCCTTTGGTGAATGTGGGGATGTGAACAACAAGCTTTCCCCAAAATCTCTCCTCCCTTCAGCTTGGACTTCTTTTGAGCTGTTTGTCAGCAGTTTTGTTTGCTGTCTCAGAGCTGTTTTTTTCTTGAGCGTTTCAGTGCCATTAGCTCCAGCTAGGCAGCAGTTCTGCTGGGTGAGCTTGTGATGCACAGGAGTGACATTTGCTGAGACCCCTCTCTCTGGATTGAGCCAGAGGTGTCCAGCACATTGTGAATCTCAGTGTAGAGTAAACAAAGACACTTAACAGAGATGGCTCCTTACTGTGGTTTAGCAGCAAACAGAAGTCCTGGGTGTCTGACAAGGCTGGAGGTTTACTAAGCACTAATCCTATAAATCTCTGTTTCTGTCTAACCTCTGTAAGAGGACTAGATGCCTTTGCAGAGACATCTTCTATTTCTTGGTCAAAAGTTTGCAGTTCGATTTAGGAAATTTACTGACCAGAAATAGAGAAATGGATGAAAGAGACTTTTGCAGTAAGAGATGGGAGCTGGCAAAATGTTCCAGGAGAGCTGGCAGTTGTCATTGACACTGGGGTAAATTTTTGGAGAATCTGGGAACTTCCTTGGTACCATGCAGCTCCAGACTCTGTAGGATGGTTTACGTGGGCAGTGTGTTCTTGTATGGGTTTCAGTAATACTATCAGCGTCAAGTTGAGTTCAGGGTTGCTGGAGTGATGCAGGCACAAGCATCTTGGGAATGTTTCTTGCTTATTGGAAATCAAGCGTAAAACCAGTCCCTTTTTATCTCCCTTTTAGTGCCGCCAACCATCAGTGTCCCCAAGGGTCAGTCTACCATCACCGTCCGGGAGGGCTCCAGGGCTGAGCTGCAGTGTGAGGTTCGAGGGAAGCCTAAGCCACCCATCGTCTGGTCCCGAGTAGATAAGGAAACCCCCATGCCTTCAGGGACAATGACGGTGGAGACATATGATGGGAAGCTGCACCTGGAGAGCATCAGCCGAGAAATGAGCGGGACCTATAAGTGCCAGACAGCCAGGTACAATGGCTTTAACATCAGACCACGGGAAGCCCTGGTGCAGCTCAACGTGCAGTGTGAGTATAACATGCAAGAGGAATACCGGTCTGAATGCCTGTGTGAGTGCAAAGCATCTCTGTCATACTGAGTACTGCTTTCAGGCAGGGCTGGCGTTTCTTACTGGGCTGAGATGACATGTCTCTTTTATCTGAAGACCTTTGAACAGTTTGTATTTAATTGGCCTGGCTGCAAAGACAAGGGTAGAATACTATATGGGTAGTGTGTTGCAAGTGGAAGAGAAGGGTGTTGTCTGTGTTTGTACACAATATTTTTCCATTTCCCTATCAGTTGAATATTGCAAAACAGCTGCTTTGCAAAATGTGCATTCAGGGCATATTAAAAAGGTTGTGAAGTCAGAATTGTTCAGAAGATAGCAAATGAATGTCAGTTATGCCATTTCTACCTCATAACCCTTTCTGCATCTTAGTTTCCCTAGCCTGAACCATTTTGCCTGGAAAGCAGCACTAGGCAGACCCTCACATGGACTGCGTAATTCCAAATAGTTTCCATGCAGATCATGTGAGCAACAGAAAACTGACTGTTAGCATGCGGCGTATTGAGTGATTTCAGTGATGGGCGGTGTTCCCAGCCTTGCTTTGATGAGTATATCTGTGCATTAAGGTGAGTGCTGCCTCACTCCTCCCTGGCTCACTCTCCAAGGAAAGAAGCAGGACTGGAGCAAATAATCTGGCTGAAGCCAAGCAGGCATACTGCTGACAGGTGCAAGCTGTTGAGAGTACAGCAGTAACAAAAGTGTGCCATATCCTTCAGGCATATTGGAGTATTCTAAGATTCCCCTTTAAAAACAGTTTGCCTGTCCATTTGCGAGCACGTCAGCAATTGAATTATGGGATGGGGATGGGGAAACGTGTGCAGGTTTTCATGAAGTGGAAATGTGTGTGGAGAAGATTCTGTGCAGGGTGGTTGTGGGTGCCTTGATTTAAGCTGTTTTGGAAGGCAAGCTGGGATGAGCATATGGTGCATGGGAGGATGCAGCAGAGAGAGTGATCCTCACCCCAAGGATGGATGGAGATACAGCAAAGTCTCGCTCTGGAGCAAAGAACAATCGGATCTGCTGGAGTCCCCAGTTCTTGCTGGTGTTTGAAAGTGATGCTGTCCCCACTGTATGGCATTGCAGAGGGAGAGGCAGTGCCCAGTATGGGATGAATTCAGGCTTGATAGGTAGTTTGGAGGGGAATCACAGCCGTATGTCTTGAGTTGGAGTGGATAGACACAATTCTCCATGCAATAGATAGTAGGCAGAAGCCTGAAGTTGTTGTGGGTATGGCCTGTGGTGTGATTGATCCACAAGAGGGAAAAAAATTTGAACTTCTGTATAAAGAGTAACTTGACATACTCTTCCTATAACTTTTCCTGAAGCCAAGCAATGTTTTGTTGTGATCTAGCCCAAGTAACAACAGTATGATCCATGCATAATAAACAAACTGTGAAACAAGAAAGGAGGGCAAGAATTGCCCACATTGCTTTTATATCCCCTTAAAAAATGGGAGGAAAAAAAGCCAACAGCAAACAGCACAGCCCATGTTTATGCCTCTCATCCTAGTTTGAGCAGCAGGAAGGAGGTGGGTGCAGTGGCGGGGCAGCAGTGGTTAATTGAAACGTTGCTCTGCAGTGTGAGGAGCTCATTAGTCCGGTCGCTTGCTCTGGAATTCTCATCATATCAGAAATGGGGATCGTGTGGCTTCTGCAGCCTCCGTGATGAGTGCTTCCCACCGGAGGGCCCGGTTAGGTGATATGCATCCACAGAGCCGCGTGCGCCCACCTGCGTGTGTGTGTGTGCATGCAGACGTGCCTCTCTGTGTGCCTGGGTGAGCTCCTTTTGAACCGGCTCGCTCAAGGGAAGAGTGAATTCTGAGTGATAATGTGGCTGTTTCTCTGATTTGCTCCAAAGCTAAAGTTGCAAAATCAATACAGCAGATCTGATTAGATGTCAGAACCTGTTTCTATGTTTCTTTTTTCTTTTCCTTTTCTCCCCTTGCCCTCATGCATATAGTTACGTATTGTAGCAAACCAGCCCAGAAATAGGCTTTGCCAACTGCACTGCAGTATTGGAAAAGAGAGCAAGAAGACAAAAAGAACAAGACAGCTGTCACAAAAAATTGTTCTTATTATTTTTTTTCATTTTGCAAGCAGAAAAAGATGTTCTTTTATCTTATGAGCAGTAATTGTCTATCATCAACTCCCTGACAGGCTGGCTAGTCTGCTCCCTGGACTTCTTGGTCTGAACTGTAGGGGGTTGGAAGATTAATAAGTTCATGAAAGTCCTTGCAGCCTCATAGGTCTGTGGTTAGGATCAAGAAATGTTACATACTGGTTAGAGGGAGAGATTGGGCTCTGCAGAACTCCTGGGGATCTAGCTACCACTCAGTGTGACAATTTCTCGTCTTTTCCCATTTCTTTAAATCAGGAATAAAACTGCTCTGTCTCTTCAAGGATATGTGAGGCATAATAAACAGCACTTTGAAATCTTGGAACAAAAATAGCCATGGAAGGGCAGAGTGCTGTTGTTAATAATATCAACGCTATTGTTAATGCTGTTGTCAAGCCTTTTTCTAGGATTAGGTACTTGCTCAAGAAAATCCTGGCAGAAAAATGAATCCTCTGCAGAGGTGGGTTTGAATTGAGGTCTGGGTCACTCTGCGCAGATGAGATCAGCATAAGGCTGTAAAACACCCTCTGGACTTGAAAATGTATGGCTCTCTGTGCATTTTGGATTAGAAAGTATAGTATGAGCTAACACGTATGAAAAGAGGAAAAAAAGTCTCCGTGTGGATCAGTGAAAATGATGTTACCTAGATGCAAATTTAGCAAGTACATAATATAAAAGAAAAAAAGTAATAATAAAAATCTGTGCATTCTGCAAGCCTGGTCAAAATAGCATTTCCATAAATTGCGGAGAGCAGGAGTAATGCAAAACTCTAGCTATTGCAAGAGCTGGCCTTTGCAACAACTTTATCTTGTTGTGGTGATATTACATCTGTTCTGTTAGAGTCTTACATAATAGCACAGTGCAAATTGCAATCCCAGTACACTGTTCTGCTTGCATGATTACGTGCCAGCCCTAATGCTTTGTCAGTGCTGACCATCATGTTACGTGCTTCTGGACAGCTTTGTCAAAGTCCAGCTCAGCCCTACCTCCTCATAACACCTAATCCTTGATACATGTCCTCCAGGGAATATTTATGTAGTTCAGTCTGAACAACGACGCTGTTTTTCATCTTTGGGTCACACTGCAGATGATGTCTAGGCAGAAGGAAACGCTAGAGAATGAATAAGATGGCCTGAGAACTTGACCCCCTCTCGATCCAAAATAGTAGTCCACAGTCATCTGGGATTGGTCTCCAAAGAATTAGACTTACTGCCCTTAGGTTGAGTTTTGCACTGTACAGTGGGGAACAGGTGGATCATTGTTTCATCTTCAGAGCACAGTTAATGTTAGGTGCAATCAGGAAAGTAATCTGAAATTGTCTTTGGAGGGGCATCCACCATAGTTAACAGGACTTCAGGAGATATGTGTAGTTCTAGTAATGCGCATGGCTATAAGGCCAGTAACAAGGACAGTGATGGGGTGAGAGACAATGGCCTTAAGTTGCAGCAGGATAGGTTCTGATTGGATTTTAGGAAAAATTTCTTCTCAGAAAGTGGTATTGCATGTGATAATGCTTTGGAACAGGCTCCTTAGTGAGGTGGTGGAGTCACCATTGTCAGAGGTAGTCAAGAAACATTTAAAAGAGGCACTGAGGGGCATGATTAGTGGGCATGACAGTGATGAGTTTATGGCTAGACTAGGTGATCTTAGAGGTCTTTTCCTACCTTAATGATTCTATGATGAGCAGACCTGGCTCTGCCCCCATCTGAAAGGCAGCTAGAATACAACCTGGGGTGGCATCTGTTGCCCTTGCTACTTAAAGAAATATTCAGGTGCAGAATCCCATCCAAGCCCACATGCTATTGACTCATTTCTCTTTAAAATTCTCCTGAACCTATTGGCAGTGCTGTACATTAGGTGGGCAATAGTCAGCATCAGTTCTTCCTGTTACCTATGTAGCAAACAGAAGAACAGGGAGCAGAGGAGGGAGTGATTATGTCAATAAGTAAGGCATATCACTGGACCAACGCAACTAGAAATGAAAATGCACTAAATGGTTTCAATCAGTGTCAGTGCTCTATGCAGGTACCCTATTAGTTCTGGAACATAAACATGGATATTAAGTACTTCATTAAAAGTGCTCTTGAGAAATGCTCCTGGCATGGAGATGGTTCTTCAGAGTGGTTATGATGGGGCTTTGGGCTCCTCAGAGCTCCCTGCAGCTCTCCTTGTTTATGTGAAGGGAGTCTAAGAGAAATGAGACTGTCCCTGGCCAGTGCTGGTTCATATCTGTGACTGAGTTGGTTTATCCATCTTGCTGCTTGGGCCATGTGAGCTGGAGTGTGGAGCCATCTGCTAAGAGTTTTAGACTTGGCTGGTTTAATTTGTGAAATTATTAATAGTAGCTGTTTTATTTTTTTAATTATGATTTTAATCAGTGAAGCCTAGTCTGACACTCTACTTCAAGTGGAGGAATGCAGTTCAGAAGCTTTATTGGAAGCAGGAGGTAATTTTTCTACTCTTACAGTGGCTGAGGCTTTCCTGTCCTTCCATTCATGTTCAGTATTGTTGTGCTACATCCCACAGGTCTTGTTCCTAGCAGAGGGAAATCTGTCCACTTGTAATAACCAGAGCTCTGGGATGCTAAGGGTGATCTTAAAAATTAACTGAGGTTCTTCTGGAAAAAGTGTGCCTGCATTCGAAGTCATGGGTAAACCTTGCCTTTTGTGAATTCAGTGTTTGCCAACCTGGGCACCTTCATTAGTGAGAAGAGAATTATTTGCAGCTACAGGCATGACCTCAACCCACCAGTATGAATGGGCAAAGCCTGACTCTGTCATTTGGTCCTACTTCAATCAAAATCCTCCTTGTTTCCTTTCTAATTTGTTATAGGTTTGTGTGACTAAG